TTTCAGTTATTCAGTTATACATGCCTCAGTTATTAATGCATCAATATCAGTTTAATAGTTGCATACTCAGTTTGCATGTTCAGTTTGAGCTATCCAGTAACTTATAGAAATTCAGTCATAATGTGTTAATTAATTAATCCATTAGAATTGAGTTAATATCTTCTTTGTATTAAACTTATCAGTTTTCATATATCTCAGTTATAGTATATGGGTATTCCCCATTTTTTTCATTTTATTTATAATTATAGCTTCTACATCAGTTTATTATTCAACTTATATTTAGTATGCTCATGATCATGCCAGCAGGGTTAGCTTGAGATCACTTGTGGTCCTAGATCCCGTGTTCGCGTCTCGGGGGTAGTCTTGGGGTGTGACACTTTCACTTTCCATTCTTATTCTCATGAGTAATTACTACACTTTTAAAATCTTGCTTGCTTTAAAAAAAACATATTAGAGCTAAAATCGGTGTCACACCCCGAAATAGGGGCGTAACTTGCACTTCATACCCTAATACATCGAGTTACCCACTAAAACATACTAGCTAAACCAAACTTGTGAGGCAAAAAGATTGGGCAGCACAACCTCTAAAAAGTGAAGCCTGGACCAAGAGGTCATGACCTGAAAGAGAATAACCATACAAACAATGGTAGATAAACCGAAAAAAATAAAGATGTACTATCTAGCCGACGAGGCCACAACCGAAAACATACCTAATTACACACACACCTATATATACATGCCAAGACTATTGGCTGGAGGTTGAAACATACAAAAACAAAACCCAGAATATTGTGTCCACAATAGCCTCTATGGGTGACATAAGCACTGTCAGGACAAGGCCCCGACTATACCCAAATTGTACAACAAAAGTAAACATCCTCTGATAGCCCCAGGATAAAATGGAGCTTACCAACTCACAGTTGAACCTGAATCCTAGCGGGTGGGTCGATTAGAGGCCCTGCCTGTACCTGCTCGCACAAAACAAAAAGTAGCATCCCCAGGCAAAGGGACATCAGTACGAATAAAAATGTACTGGTATGTAAAGCGAAAAGTAAAATCATAAACATATACTGTAAAAGGGTAATAGAGATACCACCTGAAACTGAAACCCAAATAATCTCTTTGGCTGACCTTTAGCCCCCTACTACTTAAATATGCATGGTATGCTCGTATAATCGTATGTCGTGAATACATATATATATATATATAGATGCAAATTCATGACATACCCAACCAAATGCTAGCAATGGTGGTGCTTTCCGGTAGCGAACCAACATCATATTCGCCAACTTGTGGCCATCTGTGTCTCATACGTATAAGTATAGGCAATAGGCCCCATACCTCCCGATTATAGCTCGGGAGTAGAATGCATATCATGTTATGTCATGGATTTATAACATCTATGAGTTAGTGTTGTCATGTTGCCAATCTTGGCCCGTTTGTAGTCTTGTTCTCATAATCCCATAATAACTTTCGTATAACATATAACAATCTCATGGAACTTGATATGTTCTTCTAAATAAGCTTGAAAAGTTAACTCGAATTTTAGAAGGATAACCTAACCTTATTGATATTCATAACAAGTTTAAGGTGACTTACTTAGTTCCTAACTTGGTTCCTAGATAATTTATAAAAGAAATATTTCAAAAACCAAGTGTTCTAATAGTTTACATTTAAATTATATTTGAGAGTTTTGAAGGTCGTGAGCTACTTTAAAGTTATTCTTTAATAATAACCTTAATGGAGAAAGGGGCTGGTCACAAGTAGTAAGGGTCTCACATGATATTTTAATTCACATCACCCAAGGAAGAATACAAATTCATACGTGCGGACATATAATCAAGGAAACTGATAAAATGATGTGTAGATGTCGAACACTCTATTTATCCGAACGAGTGAAATATCAAAATAACAAAATCATGAAAATAATTCAGCTGAGATCCCAATGCCTTTCACTGAAGGTCTTTCTAGCAAGAGAATAACAAAATATCACATTCGGCGTTTTAGGAATTTCCCAGGAGTGGTGCTAAAATGAGGGACGTAGCTTCGCCTTAACATACCTTTTCAATGAACGTTCGAATGGCCGTAGCTTCTTCACGAAAGTTGTTCCTTACGCCCTAAACTTCGCAAACACTATATATACACAATTGGTACACACCTATAAACAGTTCATAATTGTTCTTAAATCAGCAGATTTGCCAAATGGCCTCAACTTGACGAAATGTCCGTAGAACTTCATAAAAACAATCATAAAAGAGTCCCGAGATGATTACCTTAGTTATCCAAGTGTAAACCTTGAAGAAACACTAATAAATACAAATTTATATCTTCAAAAACTTGCTCCAAACGCAGCTAATAGAAGGAGAAAACGATTACCACGTGTAGAGATCACGTTTCTAAGCACGGGGGCAATCTTTAATGGTAGAAATTGTCAAAAACTGACCTTCATCATGCAAGTACTCCATAGGAACCCTCTCTTAAGCTTTCTTTCTGGTTTGGAAGTAAAATGAAATGTTTTCATGGCTTAAAACGTTGAGTAAGCCAACATACCACATTTTTTACCCAACCCGGATCCGACCTAGATTCTGCCCCGGCAGTCCGTAGTAAAACCCTCATAACTTTTTACTTCGATGTTGGTTGGATACGGGGTTTTGTGCGTTGCAAACTAGACTCGTAGGCCTTCGATTTAATGGGTGATAGGACTTCTAACTCTTTGTATATTGGGAGAAAACATCCAAGACATTTGACCCAAAGTTAAGAAAATATTATTAGAGAAACTTCAATAACTTTTGCTGACTTTAGTTTCACTAATTTTCTTGACTTCCAAACTTAACATACGACCCTTGTGCTATTATAATACTTCATAACACACTATTCTTAGCATGTTTTACACTCATAGGCTTATCCACAAGGTATGAGACAAGTTAAACCTTTCAAATGGGTGAAGTTCTACCCGAGCCATTTCTTTTATCATGAACTTTGTTTGAGGGGTCCCTTTGACCTAAAACTTTAGTTTTGTTCCTTGATATTGCCACCTACTTGCAATCTTAATCTCCAATGTACGATACAAAGTCATATACACCTCATATAACCATTCCATACTACGCCACATATATTATGCACGATTAGAGAAAAAGTACGGGATCTTACAATCGGATTATGCCTGTATGTTTGTGGATTAAATTAAGGAAAGTTCACGATCTCTTTTTTGAACAAGTTTTTGTCGATTATTATCTACAATATTTGAGCTATGTATAGAAGCCATATTTTCTATAATGAAATATGAGTCGAAGTGTTCGAAGTAAATTTCGATCATGTTATCATTTGGGATGTTCATTATCCGTAGACATCAACCGCCATCTATTATCAGATCTTCCACATCTATGTCAAAAATTTATTGAATTCTTTAGGTATCCACAAATTTCTGCCATCTTCTTAAACTCATCCATATCCAATTTATTCGCATTAACATAATCAATATAGTTTATGTTACCATTGCATAATGCTTTTCTGGAGTACGTTCCATAATTCCTCCGTGATATATTTTGATATTGAAAATGTCTCTGCTATTGATTATGAAATTGGAAAAAATATATTGTATTCGACACAAATAATACATAAATAACATGATATTAATATTAGAGCAAATAACAGAAGTACAGATTTCAGGGGGCATTGATTCAAGTCATAAAATTTTAATATATTAACAAAGTTACAAAGGGAGGCCTTTGTATATTCATAAGTTTACTTCTTGTATTGAATTCTTTTTTGTGGTAATGGAATTTGATAAAATTTCTTTTAAAAATAAAACCATAATTACCATAAATTCAAGGTGATTCTCTACCATTGTTGCTCCCAAAAAACATTATAACTTCCAAACCTAAATCATGTTATTGAAGAAAATATGATGCAAGTTTTAGATTTTAAGGTTTTTTGGAGATTAGAGATACAGAGGGAAAAAACTAAGAAAGAAATCTCTAATGTTTCAAAATGAGAAGTCTAAACGATATTGCACAAACTAGGGGTGTCAAAAGAATATATGAAAAATCGACCAAACCAATCGAATCGAATCAATTAATATTATTTTTTAATAAAGGCGTGGATTTTTAGTTAAGTATACAACTGTATCAAACAATTGGGATGGTCTTTTTAATTTATATAAAAAATGAAAAAATTTCAAACGGAACCGAATAGCCGTACATGTATGTAAATATATTTATATATTAATAATATGTTAAATTTTATATATAAATATATTTTATAACATTTTTCAAATATAAATATAACCTAGGTCCTAGACCTCTGGTGACGACTTTGGGCCTTTGTCTTTTAATGCTATAATAAAAGTCATCAAACAATACAGAAAAACCTATGCAAACACTCCTATTAAAAGTTTAAGATCAAACAATACGCTCACAAGGTTTTACATTCTTAATTTCTTGGTGAAGAATTGAAATGCTTCTTCAAGAACACACTTGCGAAAGAAATATTTTAATAATTGTGTATTTTAAGATGATACTTTAAAAGTAAAAAAAAGTAAACAAAAATTAAATGAACCGTACCGATACCAAAGAGAAACCGATTTGATTGAGATGATTTTAAAAGATCTAATTTTGATTATACATTATAAAATATCCAAAAAATGAGGATAATATATTTTTATAAAGATAACCAATCGAATCGTCTCAATAACAGCCCAACAGTAACAATAGTCTTTTAAGTTTTAAGTTTGGAAGGAAACATATGAGGAGCATGTGCACAACTTATTGCTAGTTAAAAAACTCACAGTGATTAGGATGAACGTTAGTAGATGTTGATTAACTATATGAAATCCCAACTTATTAATGAGGGTTCGATCCCCATATAATAAGAGTTCGATTCTCCATTCTAATATTGTAATCTTCTCCCCATTTTCGCTTTTGGAATATTCAAGTAGAAAGAAATAGAACTATTTTGAGTCTAATTGAAAGATACTGGACTCTTTTAAGCTTTTTCTCATTTCTCTCAACCTGTTGCGGGTAGCATCTTGGAGAAGACGACTACTAACTACAGGTCCTTAACCGTTTTCTCCACCAAACTAATGGCGACGGTATGGGCTACGACGACAGAGATCATCTTCGAGTACACAGGGTTATCGGCGACGGCGTTCTTCACCATTGTAGTAATGATGCTGGTGACTTACAAAGTGGTTTGTTCCATGTTCCTCTCTGCTGATGACTTTGTCCCTGTGAAAAAACAGTCTCTCAATCTCGGCGACATGACGGAAGAGGAACTTAGGGCTTATAATGGTTCTGACTCAGAAAAACCTTTGTTGATGGCTATTAGAGGACAGATCTACGACGTCTCTACCTCCAAGTTAGTCTCTCTCTCTCAGAAAAATTATTGGATTTGATTTGAGCGTATTTGCTTTGATTTGATTGTTTGTACACTTTTTGAATTTGATGATTTGAGTTAGGGTAAGACTTGCGAGAGATAGAGGCAGTGTAGTTCTGTATATTATTGATATTAAAGGAATCTGAGTTGGTACCCAAACACAATTGGCTAACTGGTCTAGCTGAAGCACATAGAAACTTATCATTAGGGATGGAGAGAAATATTGGAAACACCAACTTGGCACTAGATTATTAATTTCATCCTCTCTACTTACTAACTAAACTTAGATACACCCCGATCAGCCACATGAGACATGACATATGAAGTGGTCTCAAACTTCTCTAGGAGCATAAGGTCTTAATAAAAAGCTAAGAGAAGTGTTGAAAGCACTTCTAAACTTGACGAGAATTTAGGGGTATATTTCATCATATTGCAAGATTGAGGGTGTATTTAAGTTCAGTTAGTCAAGTAAATGGGTGTTTTTGAGGCCAACTTCAATGATAAGTATGAAGAGAACAGGAAGAAGTGGGGTGGTGGTATAATGGGCTCCAAATCACAAGGCAGGACCAAGGCCAAAGAGAGAGTTCTTGCCAAGGAAGCTGCCCAGAGGTTGAACTAAGAGCTTGCTGTGATATATACACTGCTATTGGATTCGAGAGAGCAACTCCAATTTGTGTTTGGTTCACATGCTTGACAATGTTAGAGATATTAGTTTGATAAGTAAGGGCTCCAATCACAGGCCAGGACCAAGGCCAAAGAGAGAGTTCTTGCCAAGGAAGCTGCCCAGAGGTTGAACTAAGAGCTTGCTGTGATATATACACTGCTATTGGATTCGAGAGAGCAACTCCAATTTGTGTTTGGTTCACATGCTTGACAATGTTAGAGATATTAGTTTGATAAGTACCTTTATGTTTGCCTTATGCAGCTTAAAATTAAAACTTTATCAGAAGTTCTTGTTAGATGTTCTGTTGAGTGTTTTTTTATGGCTGCGAATTGCTCAGTTATTCAAGTATCCACACTGCTTAATCTTTGCTAAAAAAAAAGAAAAAAAAAAGGAGGGGGTGGGGGGTGTTTTTAAAACTGTCAATAGTTCGAGGGTGAAACTAATAATGTGCGTCGAATTTAGGGGTGTTTTCAATACTTTTCTCTTAGAGATGTTGTATGCACTACCACTAAGCATCAACCTACTTCAAAGATTGATGCTCTGATCCATGATTGGAATGTGCTAAAAGTTTGATGCTCTAATCCATGATTGGAATGTGGTTCTTAAGGACTTACAACAGGGAAAGTTACAAATACACAAATTCCAAGGCAAACTTCCTCTGATGATCAAATAGGGCAAGTGACCTAAATCTTTAATTTTGAACTGGGACCGTACGAAACACTGCATAGACTCTTGCACAAACATCATTTGCAGCTACTCACAAGTCTCCTTAGTCATTCTTCGTCATAAAAGAAACTAGTCATATAGGCTATAGCGATGCATACCATTATCTTAAGACCCCTTGCTAAAGCCCGTTAAGGGATTCTATCAATTTGCAAAGCAAGAAACGGTGAAAAACTGCCCGGTCTCATCCATGCTTAATCATCAAGATACAATGTTAAAAAGTATTACTTGCATCAGGTGAAAGAGTTGGCAAGATATTCTTGCTGTAACTTCCTGTGTTGTCAAAGACTCATTTAAGGTGCACTGAAGCTCAAAACTCAGGGAGGGTGTGTAACAAAGGGACTCACTCCCGAATGCCTTTTCTATTACTTTGAACAGTGAAATAAAAAATACAACTCAACTTAAATGACAATAGCTACTGCAGAATCTAAGTACTGGAATTGAAAATACAAGGATAGATAGAAGGGAGATGAGAAGCTTAGGCTCGGAATGTTGATGAGAGGCACATACTCAGAATGGTGAAGAGAGGAAACATATACTTTACTCAACAATACGCATATTCCTCCGCTTCCATAAACTGATAATTATAGTAACTATATATCCTTTTATCTAGCAATGATGTTTATCATGAATGACTTGTGGAATCGAAGAAATGATGATTTTTAGCAGTGCTTGGTGCCTTGTGTATAAGAGAAGTATGTACTATACATCTAATGATGCTACTATAAAAACATTCAAAGAAATAAAATATCGTTGGATGCCGTTGTAATAATGTATTTGTGTTGTGCTTTCACAAGTAGAACTTCGTTTTGTTGGCTTCTTTTTGTGTTTTCATTATATTTTAAGTTCCCTTGGTGAAAACCCTACCTGCGTCCACCGATGGCATATGTTCTTCTAGTCACATGCATCTACAGTTAAGAAAAGATACCTCCAAGTCCTTTGTTCCTGCGATTTTAATGAGGGAATCTTAAAACTATGTTGCTTGGACTCTCTAAAAATATTGTCACACTTGTGTCGGGTCCTCCAAAAATGCATTACTTTTGGCCTATCTGACATGAACATGTTGCTTACCTTATGAAAGAGTCCACCACCTGCCTTAGTAGTCTCAAATAAGGCATGCGGGCCTGCCTAACCAACATGTTTTCGATTACGATAAATTGGATCAAATTTTACTTTTTTTTTTTTCCTTTGACATTTTTTATGTGTCTGAACAACATAGTAGTCACCCTAGAAAAGGATCTGTTCTTTTTGCAGTAGCAGGATTTTGTTGGGCCTTAAATAAGTACACAAAATTCATCTACGCTGATGTTTAAAAATCTGCAGCTTCTGTTATGGAATTTCATCCTACGTGTTTAAAATTGCTTGGAGTTGACGGGATCCCATGTAATGCTTTGAACACTAGATAGTCAAACACTAGAAAGAATTAGTTGAAGGGGCCATGGATGATTCTTCTGAAATATAGCTCGGATAAATTTCTGTTTTCTAATTGGCACATCCATCAGTAGTTTACTTTTATCATTATAGCATTCTCTGAGTGTACTAATCAAATGATAAATGAGATGCCTTCTGCAGTTTTTTGGAACTCTGTTGTCAAGTTAAAGAACTAAAATGAATGGTAGACTGGTTACAGGCTTCTTTTCTGCTTCTTGTCTGTAAAACCTACTTATTTATTTGCTTGGCTGTGCAAATAGGATGTTCTATGGTCCTGGTAGTTCATATGCAATGTTTGCTGGACGAGATGCAAGCCGAGCCTTGGCTCTGTTATCATTCAAACCTGAAGATATTAATGGAAACCTTGAAGGCCTTGAGGATGCTGAACTTCAAATTCTGCTAGACTGGGAATGCAAATTTATGGAGAAGTACGACCGAATGGGGCAGCTTGTTCCAAAGAAAATACTAACCTAGAATATAGAAGATGCAAGTACTTGTGGGATTGAAGAAGTGCTGAAGGCAACGAAAACAGATATGTTGCAGGAGAGTAAAGGTTTTTGAAGAATATGGAGTACAGCAAGACAGCCACCTATGACTGCAAATTCTTGCTGCTCTATCTGTACAGTCTTCAAATCAGAAAAAAATGCGATGTAAGTAGTTTGTGCTTTCTTTAGTGGACACCTCCAAAAAGTATGTGCTTATAGATTCAAATGTGTTAAGACTGAGTCATTTTAAAGAATTGATCACCTCATATCCAACAGTTTGCAAGCAGAAAATCCTTTGCGAGTTTCTTCAAGAAGAGGTATGTATCAGTCACTTAGATTTCATTAATAGATGAGACAATGGATCAAAACCCTCCTAAACTATCACATTTATATTAGTTTCATACTTAAATAAAGCCTAGTTTACGTTATAACTTTCAGGTACACTAGACTCCCCTAAACTATCACATTTTTATGTCTAGTTTACGTTACCCCTTAAACTGTGACTTTCAGCTGCTAAATCCTCCTGCTCATTATATGCGAGTGTGTAAGTGTGTTCACCCTCCCAAATAGCTTTTTTTTTTTTTTTTTTTTCCATATTTCGTTTAGATTACTAATGGTTTTAATTACAACATAAATTCTAAATAAATAAGTTGAACTAAACAAAAACACAAGTAAAAAGTATAAATGAATTTAAGTATCGTGAACAAAATATCCTAAACATTGAGAGGTTGAAGAGCATATCTTGATATTCACAAGTTCTTTCTTTTGGTCTCCTTTCATTATTTTGCTTAGTGCATGACTTAATTTTTATTTTTGGTTTCTCATTTGGTGTCTGAAGCCCATATTGAAGTCCCGGTTAAATTCGGATCGCGCACCGTAGGACCCATTTGGGGTGGTGTTTCCAACATAATTTTTTCTATACTCAGAACCCGAGACCTTTGATTAAGGGTGGAACAGTCTCACCACTACATCACAATCTACGTTTGTAGTTCATGACTTAGAGCCCGATTGAATTGATTTAAAAATATAGCTTTTAAAAAGTAACTTTTCAAAGTTAAACTTAAATGACTTTTAAGTCAAAAAATAAAAAGTAGAGAGGGTTCTACTTTTGACTTATAACTTATTTTAAGTCATTTTAGATTTATTTTTAAACTTATCAAACACTCTTAAAAATTAAAAATAATTTAAAAGTAGATTATATCAATTTTTAAACCAATTCAACCAAGATCTTAATTAGTCGTTACAAAAGCCACCTAGTTGACATTGTTTTTATCCCTCAGGTGCCTCTAAGGAGGTGGTTACAACCACTTTGTCATCTGTCAAACTAAGAGGATTTTAGCACCTGAAATATATAAATCAAGGGGTAACATAAATTATGCATCATTTAAGTATGAATGAAGCTAATAAAAATGTGATAGTTTAGGGGCTTAAATATTTAAAGGGGTAAATTAGACAAAATGTTCATTAGATATATTTCTTACATAAAAAATACTCCACTTAAAAAAATAAGTGCTGTAAATCAATAAATGAATGTCTATTGTGCCCTTTTTATACCTAGAAAAGGCATTGTAACTGATATAGAAAAACACACAAAAATAAGAAAGATAAAAGTTTTCTATTTTATCTCTCTACTACATTCTTCCTTTTTTTTTTGTGAGAATTGGTAAACATTACTACATTCTTCCCTTCTTGGTTGTTAGTAGTTTAATTTTAGTACTCAATCTTTATTTTATAACACGTTATCAGCACGAGACTTTGTCATCTCAAAGTTTGTAGACTAAATTTGAAGGCTAAGGTATTATTATATTTCTTCTTTTTGTTATGGCTAATCTTACTAAACTTGAGTTCGTTGCCCTTCATAGTTTGGGCAAGAACTACCTTTTATGGGTACTGGATGTTGAAATTCATTTGGATGCAATGGGTCTTGAAGACACCATTAAAATTGAAAATAAAACATCAAAACAAGACTGCGCTAAAGCAATGATATTCTTACGTTCATATTGACGAAATTTTGAAAATTGAATATCTACAGTCAAGGATCCACTCGTTCTGTGAAATAATCTAAAAGAAAGATATGACCATTTGAAGATTGTCATTCATCCAAAGGCACGATATGATTGGATGCATTTAAGGTTACAAGACTTTAAGTCTATTTATGAGTATAATTCTGCCATGTTCAAAATTACTTCTCAATTGAAACTATGTGGAGATACGGTTAGTGATGTTGATATGATGGAAAAATCGTTCTCCACCTTTCATGCCTCGAATGTGCTTCTACAACAACAAAATCGAGAAAAGGGTTTCAAGAATTATTTTGAACTTATTTCTCATCTTCTCGTGGCTGAACAAAATAATGATTTGTTAATGAAAAATCACGAGAATCGTTCTACTGGATATACACCATTTCCTGAAGTGAATGAGGTGTACGCCCACCACGCTAGGCGGAAGACGTCGTGGACATGGACGTGGTCGTAATTATGACCAAGAGCGAAATCTTTTTCCTGGTGTAAATCATTCACCAAAGAAAAATCACTATAAAAAGGGAAAAGGAAAAGATGAGAAACGTGAAGCAGTTAAAACAAACTGTTTTCGATGTGGTGGAAGAGGTCATTATGCACGTGATTGTCGTACTCCTAAACACTTGGTTGAGCTTTACCAAACATCATTAAGAAAAAAAGATAAAAATCCTGAAGCTAATTTTATCAGTGATCATGTTGACATCACACACTTGGATGTAACAAATTTCTTCACACACCCTGAAGGAAAGATAAATCACTTGATTGGTGATGATTCTGTGGATATGGAAGAATAATCATGGTTGATATATGCTAATAATAATGTTATTAATATTTGTTGTTTTGTACTGGTCATAATGTGGGAAGTAAATAATTAAAGTACTCATGTTTATCCATGTATATTCATTGAGTCCCTTTTAAAACATCTATGTAAATATGAGTTGGAATTTTCTAATGATTTGAATATGAATTGGAGTATATTACAATACTATTTTCTTCTTATCGTTTTGTGACTATAAAAGGAAATATATAAAGTTATATTTAAAATAAAAGTAGATGCACTATCTAAATAAAGTAAGTGAAAACAACAACTTTTTCTTTTGTCACTCAAATGTTTTACAAGAAATTAGATAATTATATTAATACTTATTTTAGACATGTTAAACTAGACTAAAGTTTAGTGTTAAAGGTTTGAGTGATAAAGATCTTATGCATTAATAGTATTTGATCATTATAATGATTCAAATGTCATTTTAACACTTTCATTATTTCTTATATTTCATAAATTATTTAATAGAAGATAATTAATGATTTAATATAAATTTATTTCATTACTTTTGAAGATATGGATAATTCTCCAAGCAAATTATCAAATTATGAAGACATTTGCTTGATTGATTCTGGTACAACACACACGATATTCTAAAATGAGAAATATTTTTCTCATTTAAATATGAACAATATGAATGTTACTACGATATCTGGTAGTGCTAATTTGATCAAGGTCTTCAGAAGAACCATTATAATTTTTCCTAATGGAACTAAACTCATAATAAATAATACTATGTTTTCCTCTCAGTCTCGGATAAACTTATTGAGTTTCAAAGATATTCGTGAAAATGATTATCATATCAAGACAATTGATGAAATGAATCTTGAATATCTTGGTATAACCAAAAATGTCTCCGGGCAGACATATGTTGTAGGAAAATTCACAACCTTATCTTCTCGATTGTATTGGACAAAAATTACTGCAATTGAGGCACAATCTATAGTAAATCGGGGGTTTACTAATTCCGATATCTTTGTACTTTGGCAATCGATTATTTAAAGAATGAATTTGAGATGAAAGATCTTGGAAGGACAAAATTATGTCTTGGTTTGCAAATAGAGCATTTGACAAACAATATTTTTGTTCATCAAATCATACTGAAATAATAGCTATTCATGAAGCAAGCCGAGAATGTGTGTGGTTAAGATCCATAATACACCTTATTCGAGAAAAATGTGGTTTGAAATGCGACATAGTACCCATAATTTTATAGAGCAACTTTCACATATAACAAACACAAAATTCATATTTGTATGTTATAGCAAAGTTTGCATAATTGCGCTCCATAACAAACATATATATGTATAATTCGCTATACATATACAAAAAAAACAGTTGTATAATCTGTTTTGGTATACATATACAAAAAGATCAATTGTATAAAGTGAGAGAGGCGAGTGAGCGAGCGAGATCTAGGAGAGTGGCGAGCGAGATCTAGGAGAGGGGAACGAAAATATATGTATATATACAATTTTCACGCATTTTATACATTTGCGTTTTTGTATAAAGTGAGAGAGGCGAGTGAGAGAGTGAGATTTGGGAGAGTGGCGAGTGAGATCTGGGAGAGGGGAGAGAGGGGAATGAAAATATATGTATATATACTATTTTCTCTCGCTTTATACAAACACAAACGCATTTTATACATTTTGCGTTTTTTGTATAAAGTGAGAGAGACGAGTGAGAGAGCGAGATCTGAGAGAGTGGCGAGCGAGATTTGGGAGAGGGGAGAGAGGGGAACAAAAATATATGTATATATACAATTTTTTCTCTCGCTTTATACAAACACAAACACAAACACACTTTATACACTTGCGTTTGTATAAAAAATGAGAGAGGCGAGGGAGAGAACGAGAGTGGCGAGCGAGATTCGCCAGGAGAGAAGTGAAATAGCAACAATTTGCCATGAGGTACAATTAAATCAAACTATATTTATAGTATTTAATTTGAATTAATAGTTTGCTATTATATACGATTTTCCCAATTTTATATGAGGATAATGCAACACGCATAACACAACTCAAGGGAGGATTCATAAAGGAGATAGAACAAAACACATTTCACCAAAGTTTTTCTACATACATGAGCTCCAGAAGAATGGTGATATCAACGTATATCAGATTCGTTCGAGTGATAATGTGGCTGATTTATTTACCAAGTCTTTGCCAACCGCAACTTTCGAGAAGATGGTATACATGATTGGAATGAGAAAACTTGGACAACTGAATCATGGTTTTCATCGGGGGGAGTAAAATACGCAATGTACTCTTTTTTCCTTAATCAAGGTTTTATCTCACTGGGTTTTTTTGATAAGATTTTTAATGAGGCAGCAAGTAATGCGTATTAGGAACAACTATTTATACTTGTTACTTCACTAAGAATTTTATTTTACATGGACATCCAATGGGGAGTGTTGTAAATGAATTAAGGAATGTCCATTGTACCCTTTTTATGCCTATAAAAGGCATTATAACTTATATAGAAAAAAGCACAAAAATAAAAGACAAGTTTCCTATTTATCTCTCTACTACATTCTTTCCTTCTTGGTTGTTATTAGTTTAATTT